AGCTGGGCATGGTGGCGCGTGCCTGTAATCCCAGCTACTCAGGAGGCTGAGGCAGGAGAATTGCCTGAACCCAGGAGGCGGAGGTTGCGGTGAGCCGAGATCGCACCATTGCACTCCAGCCTGGGTTACAAGAGTGAAACTCCGTCTCAAAAAAAAAAAAAGAAAAGATGAAACATGGGTAACATCCATCTGCCACAAAGTCTTTGGTTTTAAACCCCTGAGGGTTTCCACCTCCGGAATTGGAGGGAGAATTGAACAGTTTTGAATCATCCTTTCAGCTTTTTTTTCCAGGTTAGATTATATCAGCATCTCAGTCCTGGTGCATTTGTTAGGGGCCCTGGAAGAATAGTGTGAGCTCTAATATGAGTCACGTAAAAAGGATGCATTCTATCTTTTACTTCTGTTTGTAATTGAGTAAATAGTTTTATAAGTTGATTATTTGTATTAAAACACAGTTGAGGACACTCAATCAGCCTAGTAGAGTCTGCAACATATGTAGAATCAGAAATTACATTATTAGGTTTTTTGCAATTTGATACCTGAATGACAGCTACCAACTGTGCTTTTTGAGTGGATGTATAAAAAATTTGAATAAGTTTGCTTTCAGATTTTGAATAAGAAGTCTTACTGTTACTAGTGTTGTATTTGACCGGAGCATAGAAAGTTATCACAAGACAAAAGTATGCCAGATTGCAGGGTCATTTATTATGCCGGCGACCACAGAGGACTCACGTCTCTCCAACCTGTGGTGGCAAAAGGAGGGTGCCACGATTTTTTATACCCGAAAAACCACCTTGGGAGTGGGGGTGAGGGGCGGGGATGGGGATGAAAAGGCTTCAGACATTCCGAGGGCTAGTGGATTCTGTAAATTACCTCCTGGGCAGAGATGAGGGTGGGGGTCTCCGGACATTCCAAGGGCCAGGGGACTTTTGTCATTCCGTTTGTTACTTAAGTGGTTTACAGAAGTCAAGATAAACATTTGTTTACACATTATCTGGTTAAGGTGGAAATCACAGACCTTAGTTACTTATTACAAGTCGCAGGAGCCAAGATGGCATGGGTTAGGACTGCTTGCCTGTCACATTAGGGCCACAGAGAGCAGTTACTGATAAGCAAAGTTGAAGCAGCTTTACATAGTTTTGAAGAACAAACAGCAGTTCTATTTACAGAGGCCAAGGACAGTAGTTATTGTAAGGAGAATGGGGCAGCCATTTCAACTTATCTAAAAACAGTTTTGCATTTTATAAAATAGTTTTGCTCCGGTTCTGGCTCTAGGCCAGCACAATATCACACTAGATTTATCTGTAAAAATACTTTTTGCATTTTCAGTGGGATTTGATTTAGTGATTTTTGGTAAAATCCAACTGGTTAATTTCAAAAATGAAAAAAATAATTGTTTTTTGGATAATGACTATCTAAAATGCCCACAGAATTTTCCAAATAAGTTTGCCACATTACAGTATTAATACAGGTTTGCTGAATTTGAATTTTTGTAAAAGACTATTATCCTTTTGGGATCAGATGTGTGTAATTTTATCACGAGATCTTTTCATCCTGACCAAAGTTGCAATTTGGTCCAAATATAGAGTAAGAGTATGAATGCTATTATGAGGTAGAAACAGCCTACTAAGTCCTGATTTTGAATAATAACTCAGGTAGAAGAGTGTTGAGTAGGGAAAATTAACATGTCTAAAGGCTCATCAGGATCAATTCTATTTACTTGAGCCTTACATTCCTTAGTTAACCTTTAAGGGCTATTTAGACTGGAATCTCCTCGAAGAATAGAAAACAAATGACTCATAGCATCAGTTGGAATGCCTAAAGTAGGTTGTAGTCGACTGATATCTCCAAGTAACTTTTGGAAATCATTTACAGTTTTGAAATTATCCCTCCTGATGAACACCTTTCGAGGTGTTACAGTAGTGTCTTCTACCAATGTACCCAAATGCAAATAAGGAGCCATTATTAACGCAGCACATTGAATAGATTCTTTCAAATGGTCATAGCATTTTATAAGTAATTATCTATTTGGTGCAGTGCAAAGAATGTCATCCGTACAATGAATAATAACACTGAGGAAGTTCTTTTCTGGTGGGTGTTAAATTGCTCACTCTGAATGAGAGACCTCCAAACAGGCTTTGTGTGAGCAATGTGGCTGTTTATTCACCTGAGACTGAAAATGGAGTGTGATCTCAGCTCACTGCAACTACCACCACCCGGCTTCAAGCAATACTCCTGTCTCAGCCTCCTGAATAACTGGGATTATAGGTGTGTGCCACCACGCCTGGCTAATTTTTGTATTTTAGTAGAGAGAAGGTTTCAACATGATGGTTGAAACCATCATTGGTCTTGAACTCCTGACCCTAAGATCCACCCACCTTAGCCTCCCAAAGTGTTGGGATTACAGGCGTGAGCCACTGCACCCAGCAGTAATTGGTTTTATAGGTTGTGGGGGAGGCAGTGGAAAGCTACAGAAGTTACAGTTTTTTGCAAGCTGGGAGGCGGTCATAGGGTGTGGAGTCACGAGGTTGGCCCAGCTCAGTTACAAAGTCCAGTGGCCTTGTCAACTGAGTGGGCTCAATAGCTTGACCTACATAAGTTTGACAAATTGTGGGACTATTTAACATCCCTTGGGTAAGCACTTTCCAATGCTATCTTTTAGCAGGCTTTTGATTATTTGTAGACTAGTGAACGCACATCACTCACAGTCATTTTCTGCCAAAAGAATAGTAAAGAAACAGTCCTTGAAATTAATAACAATTAGTACCCAAGTTTTTGGAATCATAGTGGCTAAAGGTAGTCCAGGTGGCAGAGCTCCCGTAAGTTGGATAGCTGTATTAAGTGCTCTAAGATCTGTTAACATTCTCCATTTTCCGTATTTCTTTTTTATTACCAAAAAAAGGAGATTTTCAAGGTGAAAATGTGGGAGCTATATGTGTTTTTTTTAGTCTCCAGTTTTTCCTTTGTAAGCTGCCATTGTTCTATCCAAATTGGATATTGGATAGAACCATTATTTAACCATTTTAAAGCTATTGGTTTTGAAGGCTTAACAATGGCTGCCATTAAAAATAATATTCTAGCCGGGCGCGGTGGCTCAAGCCTGTAATCCCAGCACTTTGGGAGGCCAAGGCGGGTGGATCACAAGGTCAAGA